TCTCTCTCTCTCTCTCTCTCTCTCTCTCTCTCTCTCTCTCTCTCTCTCTTCTCTCTCTTCTCTCTCTCTCTCTCTCTCTCTCCTACTCTCATTCTTCTCCCTCTCCCTCTCCCTCTCCCTCTCCTTCCTTCTCCCCTCTCCCTCTTCCCTCTCTCCCTCTCCCTTTTCCCTCCCCCTCCCTTTCCCTCTCTCTCTCCCTTTCCCCCCTCCCCCCCCCCTCTCTCTCTCTCTCTCTCTCTCTCTCTCTCTTCTCTCTCTCTTCTCTCTCTCTCTCTCTCTCCTCTCTCTCTCTCTCTCTCTCTCCTCCTCTCTTCTCCCCCCCCCATTATTCTTACAATTCATCCCCTTCCTTTTATTTTTGCCTTTTCTTTCTTTCTGCTTTTCTCTCTTCTTAGTTAAACCCATTTTTTTGGTTTTACTTTCATATATCCAGATGTATATAAAATAGACATATTGTAAATTTCTTTTTTTGGCTAATGTAAAATATTTTCTTTTCTTGGTTTTCTAGGTATAATGGTTTTTTTTACCACCCTGCGATAAGGGTAGACGTAGAAAGCAAGTTTGTGTTGCCAGGACGCCAGGCAAAAGCCAATGAGTCAAACCTGGCTCGGCATTATGGTGGTGCGAAACACCACAAAATACACAGGTAATATTTGTTTTCATTTTTCTTTTAGAGATAATGATTATGTGATTTTTGTTTCTTACTGAAATTATTATGTATTTATTTGAATTTAATAAAATTTGATTGGTTCTAAATTCTGCTAATGTGGATGTAGATTTTATTTTTAAGTTCATTTTTCATTGGCATTTCCTAATAATGTACTGAACATAATATTCTTACAGGCTATATTGGATGCCCAGCAACACAGCATCTCCTATACGCTATCACGAAACCAAGCGGTGATCGTGGAGTATCAGTTAGATACGGAGACAGATATGTTTCAGATTGGTCGGTCATCTGAAACACCCATAGACTTTGTTGTTATGGACACGATACCTGGTGATAAACATGGGGAATTGAAGGCAAGTTGCATTGACCAAACATTGTTCAGTGTTAACTTTTATCTTCTCTTTTGGATACTGCTGTTCTGTAATATTGTTATTAATAATCACTATATTTTTTCCCTTTGTCTATTGTTACTTTCTTCTTTTTTATTAACCAGACGATATTGCCCTAAAAGAAATTATGCTTTTTCAGGTGACGCAGAGTACAATTAGCAGATTTGCGTGTCGTATAATTGCTCACAGAACAACTCGCACCACTCAGGTTTATGCTGCTGGCTTCGATTCGTCGAGAAACATATTTCTGGGGGTGAATTCCTTTTACTTTGACATTTTTATAAGCTGTATGGTCTTGATAGGATTTTTAGTGAGAAAATGATGCTCTGTTTGTGAGGTTCATTAGGAAAATTTGCTATTTTCATTTTTTATTTTTTTTTTGTCTATTCTTAGACTTATATTATCAAAGTTTAGTAACAATAACTCACTGGTATACAGAATTTATTGTATGAGATTGGAAAAGATAATGAAGAATATTTGTGTATCAACTTGCACTACTTACACCCACAATTGAAATAGATATCTTGTATTTACTTTCATGTGTACAGTATAAAAAGCACACCTAACTGAATTATATTTGTATCCAGGAAAAAGCGACTAAATGGCAGAACAATGGAGAAATTGATGGCCTGACAACAAATGGAGTCCTCATCATGCATCCGCCAAGTCAGTTCTGTGGAGGAGAAGCCAAACCGGGCATCTGGAGGGAAGTGTCGGTCGGGGGAGGTGTTTATGCATTAAGAGAATCACGGTCTGCCCCACAGAAAGGCATTAAGGTCAGTTTTTTTCACATGTTATTCATTATTATTTTTGTTTCTGTAATAATTTTTGTTGTTCTATATATATATATATATATATATATATATATATATATATTATATATATATATATATATATATATATATATAATATATATGTATATATATAATTTGATTTTATATTTTTTCCCCTTTTCTTTTATCTTTTTCTTTTTTTCTCTGTCTTTCTTTCTTTATTATTATTTATAGTATTTTTCTTTTTGTTATTTATACTATTGTTAAGATTCTTATTACAATCCTATTGATTATCATAATGATAATTGTCATTAACATTTCTATAAACACAACCTCCACCATTTTAGAATTATAAGCCATGTTTTACGACAAATATGAAATGAAAATTACTTTTTCAGATTGATGAGGAAACAAATGTATTACAAGATGGCACGTTGATAGACTTGTGTGGAGCTACGTTACTATGGAGGTCGGCAGAGGGTTTAGGAAAATCTCCCGTAAGTTGTCTTATATATCTGTGAAATGTCATTGGACTAGTATCCATAGTAGACTTTTATTTTTTTTTTATAGCAGCAGTAGTAGTAGTAATAGAGTAGTAGATAGGTATATTTTAGGGGTGGGAGATGTGAGAGCAGGGTTTGCACATATTTAAGGTATCCTTTATTTTCATTATCATTGTTATTATTATGCCTTTAATTTAGTATAAGACAGCGGTTTTTAATCTGGGGGCGTCAGTAATTTCCAAGGGGGTTGCAGGAATTTCCTTAATGATATTTAGTCCCCCAATTAGAGCATGGTCAAATAATGAGAAGGCATGGTAGTAAAAAGGTTAAGAACCACTGGTTTAAGAGATTCAATAGCTTTCAAACTTTTGATTAATTGAATGATTAATGGTTTAATATTTGACAAATGTATAAATAAGAGATAGATTGATTTATTGCTTGATTGATTGATAAATTGGTAGAGTGATATATTGATAGATAGATAGATTGATAGATTGAGAGAGAGAATGAGAATGAGTGAGTGAGTGTAATTTTTTAACAAATAAAGTGTTAAACGCAATTTTGTCTAACTTCCAGACGAAACGACATCTAGAACAGATGGTGGACGAGCTCAATGCAGGTCGTCCACAGTGCCCTGTAGGACTCAATACCTTAGTCATACCCAGAAAGGCTACCCTCACAAGCACAGAAAAGCAGCCTGTAGTGTATCT